ACATTTGAAAATCCTCCATGAAGTCATCTGGCTCTTTCAGCACAGTACAAGCAGCCTTTGTGTGCTTTGCCTTAATTACATAAAAAGAAAGCAGCGATAACTTTGATATTAAATTTCACATATCCCTGGAAATGGGAACGAAAAGGCGTTGTTGATTTCCTATATGATAATTGAATTATTTCATAATTTTCTGAAGCTCTTTTGTTCAAATGAAAATAAATCTTAAAAATACAACGTTATTTAGCGACTATTGGAGGTTTCTCAAACTAAAGTAAATTTACAGACGATAAGCAAATGCGTTTTGTTACCTAGCATAGTGAAACGTGTCTCAGAGCAAAGTAATTTTCTAGTTATTTTCAACACGACTAGATTTTTTTCTTCAGGCGTCCCAACAATTATGTAATCGTTTCTTTAGTTGCCATTTGCCAGGATTATTACCGCCACACCAATGAGAATTCAGAGGCAATGTGCGTCGATTTTCTTTTACCCTACTCACTCTCTTCCCCATAGATCAGGCATGGAGGTAGGAAAGGGAGGAGGGGCCATTCCGCGCTAGAAATGAAGCACTGCTTTGAAGCTTGGGTTTTTTTGGTTGTGGTGTTTGTGGGGTGTTTTTTGTTTACATTCAAAGCGATTGACAAAATTTGATGTATTTCGAACACAGGCAGTTCATAGAAATCGAAAAAGGGACACTCTCGCATGAAAGAAACATTCATAGTGTGATGGATAAGCAATTTGTATAGTTTACTGACATTTACGCAAAATCACATCTTGGTTATTTTTTCGAAACTAACAACAGCGATTGATTATGAATTTGTTTTATAAAATTCTAAGCTGTTGCACTAAAAATATAGATTTAAGAAAATTGCTAAAAGAGATCTGCCAAATTTATTTTTAGAAGATTTGAAAATTTGAAACTTGATGGCTAAATGTAATATAAAATTATGTATGTTAAAATATTTTAAATTAGGCACAAGGTCAGATTAAGTTTTTATTAAATAGAGTAACGCATGCAAGGGCTATCTGCCTAAGAGAGAGAATGCCATCGTGAGGGAATTTTGAAGAAAAACTGACCTGATTGGGTATTAAAATAATACTAATAATTTTCATTCAAATTATATTCATATATATTTTTTATGTAAAACTTTCGAGTGTATGCTAAATTAGTGTAAATTACTTTTACACGAAAAATATAGTGAATGCACAGAAATTGAGATTTGCTCATGCCGGAAATGATAAATAGAATATGTATGGGGTATTTATGCATGTGCTTGCAAAAAGGATGTATCTGTCTTTGACAAATACTTAAATATTCATTAATTATTTATAAATGTATTTGAAATGAAGAATTTATTCACTTATAACAACTGTGAAAGTACTGTGAAGAAATAATAATTAAATGTATCTAATTTATAATGATTATAAATGTTATCTAAATATATAATAACCTTAATATTGAATTGTAACATAAATTGAAATCCTGTTGACAATACGTTATAAAACTTTTAAGCAAGAATTGTCGTATTGGAAAGCAATCTGTTAAAGTTATTGAAAGCAAACGCTATGAGATGCGCCTTAAAAGTAATAGAGTTGGAATATGTTTGTGAAATGAGGGTAAAAAAATCTGATAACATATTAAAGAATATCCCTTACATTTTAATAACTCAGTTACAAGTTTTAAATAATCTTAAAAAAAAAAAAAAAAAAAAAAAAAAAAAAAAAAAAACTTATTTTATTCCTTCAGAATTCAGAGAAGTCAAATACTATTTAATACCTATTTAATTATTAGGAATAGCGAAATCCTTATTTAAGTATTCGCTAATTCCTAAATTCTCTAATTTAAAATGAACCGAATAGAGCATTAATTATAAATTGACTTACATTTTTCGATTAAAAGAGCCAAAAAATCATGTCATATTTAAGAAAGTATTTTAGGAAGAAGCTCTATAAATAGAAAAGAAATAATGCATAATTTTAATATAATAATACAATAACTTTGATCTTAATTTTGTACCTTAACCGAATAAATCGAATTACCTTAATTTTTTTTTTCTAATGTAATTAACGAAAACTTGTGAAAATATTTATTCAAATTAAACCATTCTGAGAAAAAACTGTCCTGTGAAAAGTATAGCATTTAATTCCGTTCAGAATGAAATGTTGTTTAAAAATATGTTGTTTTCACATACTTAGGACTCTGAAGTGTTGTAGAAAAGAAAATATATACATTTATATGTATATTTGCGACGTAATTACAAAATATTACACCCCGAACGCGTCAAATCCCATAGAACTCAATGGTAAATGACCCAATGTTTTGGTCACCACGTAGGGATCGCCGGTGTTTCAGAGCAGGGTACGGAGAAACTTGTTTAGGGCGACTCCATCTTACTTCCTACCTTCATGAAATCAGGGATTCTTAACCCGTTCTCGCGGGTGCCAATGTGCCTGCGAAGCTATTTTTGTGCTCCCGCGACTGTCGGCTCAGGCGTTTCTTTGGAGTCACGACTCGGGCACCCGCGCGCGCGCATAGCACTATCTCAGGATATTTATTTGAAGATTTTCGAACATATAAGAGTTGCGAAGTTCGTAGTCTCCATTTAATAACATAGAGCATTCGGAGAAAGTCAGTGATGGCATAGGAACGTGAAAATTCAACTAAGAATACAGATGGTCAATCAATACATCTTGCTGCCTGTGGCCAGCCAATCAGGCGGGTACTAAGTGTAAGCAAAAATACTTCAATGGTGGCAAAGTAGATAGGATAAGCAGTAGAATTAAAAAGAAATGCCAATATTTTGCTTTCAAACAAGGTAGTGCGCGACGGTGCAACCAGTAAGTGCAAAATTAACAGCTAGAAATAGCAAGCCAGCGCAGTTAATAAAACATCAAGATAAAGTACCATCTTAATAAGATTGAGTAAAATAATAAAAAAAAAAGTAACGTGGGACTCCAAAGATAGGAGAAACAAAGGATGATACACAGTAGATGGGGAGAAGGAATAGCAGTAATTAATGGTGTTAATAAAAGTGGAAGATTAATTGTCATTTGAAAGTTTAGATAACTCCCCAAGAATGAGGTGTAGTACTTGCATTTTGTCTAACAAGTTGGTGCATTTTTTGAGTTTCAGAATTTTGCTCTTATAAATTTGTATAACCTTGCCAAATTGGAATTCAAACAGGTCCTGCATTTCTTTCAGAACGTTTAATAAATCTGAGATATCTGAACGATTACTAGTATTATTTGAGCAATTAACTGGGTGAGATTTACCAGGTTGGCGATCATCAAGTTTTTCTGTGTTTGATGGGCTACTCTGGTTGAAACTACCAGAATGCCAGTGCGAGTGGGTTTAGCTGATACCTGGTTTTACGGTGGATTTTTTGAAAACGTTTTTTTATAAGATGGGAACCTAGGGCAACCCATTATGTGAGGCTACTGGGATCCAGGTGCACCTGATGTTCGCAACTGCCAGTTCTATGGTGGCCTGCACATTTAACGTACCGTAGTGCACCGTGAGTTTGACCATTATTGGTAGTACTTTCCTTTGCTTATCATGAACAGTAGGACTATTATCACATGGGATATTATCATCAATAGAGTCAGTATTATTTCTAAGCAAAGCATTATCATCAACCGTAACAGAATTATTACTTACATTATCAGAATCAACATTTAAATTTGCAAACCTATTTTGCAAAGAGATAGAAGGCTTAGGATCACTACGTTTCATAGCTTTAACTGTTTTAACAGAACTTATGAAAATTATCATCAGAATCATCAGAAGTATTACAAGTAACATTTTTACGCTTATTATTACTAGGAATAGGTTTAACTGGTGGCAAACTATTTCCACTGAGAAACAAAAAATCGCACTTACCCCTCTCAGTGAATTGGTACATGAGTTATAGAATTCCGTAAGCTTACGGTTTAGCTGAAGATGACTTCCCGACGGTGGCACAGGGCCGGTGGAAATCGAAGCAATAAATGCACGTTCTTTTTTTCTCGCAGATCAGACTGCATTGAGATAAGTATCCGATGAGTTTTTTAGAGTCTGTAGTATCCAGGGGGAGAATTTGCTTAAAGTCCATGAGTTTAACATTTTCCAAATTTTCGGTAATATTCCAGTGGATATAATATTGCTAACAAGCACATGATTATCCAAAGAAGGAACAGGAGAGTCATAACACAGACAGTCCATCACAGAATATGAGGCATCATACCACGAGGTAGGCTTAACACTGTTAATTTCACAGTCCATATTGGGCGCTGGAGATTTCGCACTATTAGAGTCTGTAATTTTCGGAGAAGACGACATATCAGTTTGTGGATACACACATAAATCCACAGAGAACACGCATTAATCCAAAAACCAGGCGAACTCGCAAAGAAATGCCGTCGAACATTGTCGTTAGTGGTATCGCAGAGAATTGAAACGGAGCGTTCACCCCCACGATTGTTCACTATATACTACATTTATATCAACCGTGACCAAGCCGCGGCCCCAAAATCGCATTAAATCCAACTATTTGGAATTTTTTGTTACCTTTTTAATGTGGGGAATTGTTTGTTTATGATGCTTATGATTACAATAAAATAAAGAAATATTAAGAATCGTTATCCTTTGTTTTTTTTTAATTGCGCCCGCAGCATTTCCTGTTTGTCAGATGTGCCCATACGGGGTATAAGGTATCAAAGGCCATAGATGATTAAATTACGACGAACTTTAAAGCATGATGCCTTCAGTGGGATACCGTGAAGAACTGGAAAGAGGAGGAAAATTCCCGCTGTCCACCAGAATACCTTAGCGTCAAAGTTGTCATTCTTTATCGAATAGCCTGTAGTCATTATTTAATTATTGCTTACGAAGATGCACTTTAATTCTATAGAGGAAAATCTTATGATCTGGCCTAAATAGTAAATACAATTACACATATTAATTATTACTACTAATGGTTATTTTTTCATCTGGCAGTGAAATATATGTGTTTCCGTGTTTTTAGGTGCAAGGATGGTTACCATGGAAATCACTGTGACGAGGAAAAGAAAATACCAAACGGTATATAAGTGAACTCCTAGCTTTGATATGTATCTATATATAAATATTATTAAACTAGGTTATATTATCTTAACCCTCAAGTAAATGATTTCTACAGTGACTTGGCTTTTTATATGTGCACTAATATAAATAATATAAATGTTGCGTATTAAATTATTCAGTATAGTTAAGGGCACAAACCCTTAGCTGTGATGTTCATAACTAATAACATACATATTAAAAAACTATTAAAATTAAACAGGTTTAACCAGATGCCCGAAAATTGTCAAATAAAGTAACTTTTATCTATTATAATAATCTAAATAACATGTGTCTAAAATCATGACGTCACTAATTAGAACAAATTTTAAATACACACTGCTAAAGAAGCATTTAAACTAATTGAGTATTATTCGTATATATATAATTTCGATACTATCTCTTTTATTCTTTCTTGAAATTTCGTTAGTATCCTAATATAATTCGTGTATGAAAGCCCCAAGATTTCGTTTCTATTCACGTAAGCTCAAAAATACCAAAAAACCTGAAAAAAACGTAAATTTTTTAGAACAATTTGTAGAGCCTAATTATTTTTCGTAATATACACTAAATCAAGTCTCTACAT